GTCCTTCTTTGTCTCTTGTAATAGTCTTTACTTTAAAGTCTATTTTGTCTGATATGAGAATTGCTACTCCAGATTTCTTCTGATTTCCATTTGCATGGAATATCTTTTTCCATCCCCTCACTTTCAGTCTGTATGTATGCCTAGGTCTGAAGTGGGTCTCTTGTAGACAGCATATACACGGGTCTTGTTTTTGTATCCATTCAGCCAGTCTGTGTCTTTTGCTGGGAGCATTTAATCCATTTACATTTAAGGTAATTATCAATATGTATTTTCCTATTCCCATTTTCTTAATTGTTTTGGGTATTTTATTGTAGATCTTTTCCTTCTCTTGTGTGTCTTGCCTAGAGAAGTTCCTTTAGCATTTTTTGTAAAGCTGGTTTGGTGGTGCTGAGCTCTCTCAGCTTCTGCTTGTCTGTAAAGGTTTTAATTTCTCCATCAAATCTGAATGAGATCCTTGCTGGGTAGAGGAATCTTGCTTGTAGGTTTTTCTCCTTCTTCACTTTAAATATGTCCTGCCACTCCCTTCTGGCTTGCAGAGTTTCTGCTGAAAGATCAGCTGTTAAACTTATGGGGATTCCCTTGTGTGTTGTTTTTCCCTTGCTGCTTTTAATATGTTTTCTTTGTATTTAATTTTTGATAGTTTGATTACTATGGGTCTTGGTGTGTTTCTCCTTGGATTTATCCTGTATGGGACTCTGTGCTTCCTGGACTTGATTAACTATTTCCTTTCCCAGATTAGGGAAGTTTTCAACTATAATCTCTTCAAATATTTTCTCAATCCCTTTCTTTTTCTGTTCTTCTTCTGGGACCCCTATAGTTCGAATGTTGGTGCATTTAATGTTGTCCCAGAGGTCTCTGAGACTGTCCTCAGTTCTTTTCATTCTTTTTTCTTTATTCTGCTCTGCAATAGTTATTTCCACGATTTTATCTTCCAGGTCACTTATCTGTTCTTCTGCCTCAGTTATTCTGCTATTGATCCCTTCTAGAGTATGTTTAATTTCATTTATTGTGTTGTTCATCATTGTTTGTTTCCTCTTTAGTTCTTCTAGGTCCTTGGTAAATGTTTCTTGCATTTCCTCTATTCTATTTCCAAGATTTTGGATCATCTTTACTATCATTATTCTGAATTCTTTTTCAGGTAGACTGCCTATTTCCTCTTCATTTGTTAGGTCTCGTGGGTTTTTACCTTGCTCCTTCATCTGCTGTGTGTTTTTCTGTCTTTTCATTTTGCTTATCTTACTGTGTTTGGGGTTTCCTTTTCGCAGGCTGCAGGTTCGTAGTTCCCGTTGTTTTTGGTGTCTGTCCCCAGTGGCTATCGTTGGTTCAGTGGGTTGTGTAGGTTTCCTGGTGGAGGGGACTAGTGCCTGTGTTCTGGTGGATGAGGCTGGATCTTGTCTTTCTGTTGGGCAGGTCCACGTCTGGTGTTGTGTTTTGTGGTGTCTGTGGCCTTATTATGATTTTAGGCAGCCTCTCTGCTAATGGGTGGGGCTGTGTTCCTGTCTTGCTAGTTGTTTGGCATATGGTGTCCAGCACTGTAGCTTGCTGGTCGTTGAGTGAAGCTGGGTCTTGGCATTGAGATGGAGATTTCTGGGAGATTTTCGCTGTTTGATATTATGTGGAGCTGGGAGGTCTATTGTGGACCAGTGTCCTGAACTTGGCTCTCTCACCTCAGTGGCACAGCCCTGATGCCTGGCTGGAGCACCAAGAGACTGTCCTCCACATGGCTTAGAATAAAAGGGAGGGAGGGAGGGAGGGAGGGAAGGAGGGAAGGAAGGAAGGAAGGAAGGAAGGAAGGAAGGAAGGAGGGAAGGAAGGAGGGAAGGAGGGAGGGAAGGAGGGAGGGAAGGAGGGAGGGAAGGAGGGAGGGAAGGAGGGAGGGAAGGAGGGAGGGAAGGAGGGAGGGAAGGAGGGAGGGAAGGAAGGAAGGAAGGAAGGAAGGAAGGAAGGAAGGAAGGAAGGAAGGGGATAAAATAACATAAAGTAAGGTAAAATGAAATAATTATTAAGAAAAAAATTTTGAAAAGTAAAACAAAACAAAACAAAAAACAGACAGACAGAACCCTAGGACAAATGGTGAAAGCAAAGGTATACAGAAAAAATGTCACACAGAAGCATACACATACACACTTACAAAAAGAGGAAAAGGAGAAAAAAATAATCTATCTTGCTCCCAAAGTCCACCTTCTCAATTTGGGATGGTTCGTTGTCTATTCAGGTATTTCACAGATGGAGGGTACATCAAGTAGACTGTGGAGCTTTAATCCGCTGCTTCTGAGGCTGCTGGGAGAGATTTCCCTTTCTCTTCTTTGTTCACACAGCTCCCGGGGTTCAGGTTTGGATTTGGCCCTGCCTGTGCGTGTAGGTCGCCTGAGGGCGTCTGTTCTTTGCTCAGACAGGACAGGGTTAAAGGAGCAGCTGATTCGGGGGCTCTGGCTCACTCAGGCCGGGGGGAGGGAGGGGTACGGATGCAGGGTGAGTCCACGGCAGCAGAGGCCAGCGTGACATTGCACCAGCCCGAGGCGCGCCGTGTGTTCTCCCGGGTAAGTTGTCCCTGGATCCCGGTACCCTGGCAGTGGCGGGCTGCACATGCTCCTGGGAGGGGAGGTGTGGAGAGTGACCTGTGCTTGCACACAGGCTTCTTGGTCGCTGCAGCAGCAGGCTTAGCATCTCATGCCCATGTCTGGGGTCCTTGCTGATAGCTGCAGCTCGCGCCCGTCTCCGTAGCTCCTTTAAGCAGTGCTCTTAATCCCCTCTCCTCACGCACCAGGAAACAAAGAGGCAAGAAAATGTCTCGTCTCTTCGGCAGCTCCAGACTTTTCCCAGACTCCCTCCCAGCTAGCCATGGCGCACTAACCCCTTCAGGCTGTGTTCACGCCGCCAACCCCAGTCCTCTCCCTGGGATCTGACCTCTGAAGCCCGAGCCTCAGCTACCAGCCCCAGCCCGCCCCGGCAGGTGAGCAGACAAGTCTCTCGGGCTGGTGAGTGCTGGTCGGCACCGATCCTCTGTGCGGGAATCTCTCCGCTTTGCCCTCCGCACCCTTGTTGCTGCGTTCTCCGTGGCTCTGAAGCTTCTTTCCCCCTCCGCCACCCGCAGTCTTTGCCTGCGAAGGGGCTTCTAGTGTCTGGAAACCTTTCCTCCTTCACAGCTCCCTCCAACTGGTGCAGGTCCCATCCCTATTCTTTTGTCTCTGTTCTTTCTTTTTTTCTTTTGCCCTACCCAGGTACGTGGGGAGTTTCTTGCCTTTTGGGAGGTCTGAGGTTTTCTGCCAGCGTTCAGTGGGTGTTCTGTAGGAGTTATTCCACGTGTAGATGTATTTCTGATGTATCTGTGGGGAGGAAGGTGGTTTCCACGTCCTACTCTTCTGCTATCTTCCCGTCTCTCTCTGGGAGGTTCTTAAGAGAAGACTAAGGGAAGGGCTTTCCTGGTGGCGCAGTGGTTGAGTCTGCCTGCCCATGCAAGGGACATGGGTTCGATCTCTGGTTTGGGAAGATCCCACATGCCGCGGAGCAACTAAGCCCATGCGTCACAACTACTGAGCCTGCGCTCTAGATCCCATGAGCCACAACTACTGAGCGCACGTGCCACAACTACTGAAGCCCGAGCGCCTAGAGCCTGTGCTCCACAACAAGAGAAGCCACTGCAGTGAGAAGCCTGCCCACAGCAACGAAGAGTAGCCCCCCCCCACCACAACTAGAGAAAGCCCACGCACAGCAGCGAAGACCCAACACAGCCAAAAATAAATAAATAAAATAAATAAATTTATATATAAAAAAATATAGAAGACTAAGGGTCAGAGAGGTTGAGGATAAGTTATTCATGGTCAAGATACCTAATAAATATTGTGAGAACAGGTATACCATATACCCAAGCTCCCACTTTCCTCTAGGTCAGGGTTTCTCAACCTTGACACGACTAACGTTTCACGCAGCACAATTCTCTGTGGCGGGGGGCTGGCCTGTGTGCGGCAGGATGTTTACGAGGATCCATGGCCTCTGCCCACCACATACCAGTAGCAACCTTCCCCAAGCTGTGACAACCCCAAATGTCTCCAGACATCCCTGAAGTCCCCTTGGGGCAAAACTGACCCCAGTTGAGAACCACTGTTGGTAACCCTCAAGTCCCTCAGCATTTCCTTGGCAGTCCAAGTGAATGCTCTATGATGTGCTCACTGTGCAAATGAAGCTTTAAGGCCAGTTCCTTAGGCTCTCCTTTCTAGCCAGATAGCTGTCCCTCAGCCCCTTCTCTGTGGAGATTCTGTCTTAGTGCTATGGCGCCAAGCCTTACCATCTCTCCCACAGATCTCCTCCAGCAAACTGCCATCTGGGACGAAAGGAGAGCCTGCATTTAAACGGCTGGACCAAAGCATAACCGTGAGGGAAACACCTGGGCCCCTCTGCTTCCTGGGCATTCCCGTCTTTGGCTCCTTTGCAGGTAGTCTGTGTGTGTATGCGTGTGCACGTGTGTGCATGTGCTTGCATAGTGGATCCATCCCTCCATCATCTCCCTCAGCCCAGGGAAAGCTACTCAGTCCACCTACAGCCTAAGGGAAAACAACGTGTTCGCTAGGCAAGTGCAAGAGTGCTGCAGCCTCAGTGCCCGTCGTTGCTGGTGAAGCCACTTCTGAATTGAAGTTCCAGAGCCACCGCTCCTCACAAACACTTGTACTCTGCACTGTGCTCAGCCTTACAGACCACCGAGCTCTGATTTCACTCCCTGAAAATGTCAGGGAAAGACAATTTCTCCCTCCCTCCCTCCCTTGGGACAAGTTGTTCCTTCAGGACAAACTGTCCAGAGGAAAGTAACATTCAACTCATTTAATCTAAAGAGCAGAGGATAGAGAACCCAGCGTAAGTCTCTCAGGAGGATTTACTCACAAATAGAGTTTCATTAGCAACCCCAAAACACCCCCAAACCCAATGCACTTATGAGACCAGTGCGTGTGGCTCTTCCGCCCCCAACTCGAGTGGCAAATCTGGAACAAACGCTGACCCTCTCTCACCATGTGTCCAGCTCTGAGAATCCAGTAGAAAGCCAGGTTCTTGTGGGACTTGACAAAGGCAGACGTTTCTGAAGTCTTAGGGTCACTGTGCAGGGGCTTCCACTTCAGCTGACTGAATTTGGGCAGTTCTGCCCACTCCAGTTTTCGCACCCAGGCCTCCTGACCTGGTGAGGGGGATAAAGAAGGGCCCAGCATTAAGAGCTGAGTGGAGGAGAACCCAAAATCTGGGTCCCATGATTCGGCATGGAATCTGCAAGCTGGGATGTACATAAAACTCACTTTGGGATCTTGTTAAAATGCACATTCCAATGCAGTAGGTCTGGGCATGGCCTGGGACTCTGCATTTGTAGCACTGGTTGTCCCAGCCACAGCCAGGCTGCCCAGGAGAAACCTAACAGCTGTGACTACTTTTTGCTCCTGACCCTCCCACTGCCCTACGCTCTGTAGGAAGGAAATCGGGGACCTCTGGAGGTGGACAGCACTGTCAGGAGGACGGAGAAGCCTCAGGGTAAGGAGATGCTGGATCACATCGGGGAGGTCGTGGAAGAAACACAGAACCTTTTCAAATCGTCCTCAGTACCCTTGGCTCCCAAGTCGCAAAAATATTCAATCCCGCTGACTCTGAGGAACGCTCATACCCTCCAGACCATGTGCCTCGATTTATCTGCCAGTTCTGAGAACCTGCCTGAGCTTCTCCCTGGCCCTCCCTGAAACCAGAGGTGGGCACAGGTGGCAGCCAACGCGGGAGGGACCCCACCAAGACCATTTCCCCTGGGTCCTCATCTTTACAGGGTCAGCAGGGCTGTCTTGATTCACGCTGCAGTGCTTTACCATCCCCTGTGACGCTGCACAAAAATGAGGTTTTCCCTCAGTTAAATGGTGCCTCTGTCCGGTGGCTAGGGAAATGTCTTCTTTTTAAATTTCGAGGTGGGCGTGGGTATTATCCTTTTCTGTAATCATACCTAAGGCCTCAAAAGCTGGACAGGCCAGGCTTCTCTGAGGGGTCACAACCTCGGGCAGCCCTACCCTCTTCAAAGAGTCAAGGTCAGGGGTGGATGCATGTAACAGGAAATGGCCTTCCTCCTGCCATTTCAATGTCAACAGTCCCCCAAGAGGCCAGTTCCCTTCCAGCTCAACCCACGACACTGCCTCCATGGGCCCCGAGTGGTTCCTACCCATGGTGTCCACGATGAGGTCAAGCTGCCCATTATACACGGTCACGTTGACCCCGGCTTCCAGCAGCTCGTCCACAATGCTGATGACGGGTTTCATGAAGTCCCCCTCCATGTTCAGGAAGACGCTGGCAGCCTGGCCTGTACAAGGGGAAGGAGAAAGAGGTAGCAGCTTGGAACCTGCCAGAACAAGAGGCACCTTTCAGCCCAGAGCACCCAGCACCCAAAAGTGACCACCGTGCAGCACCTAACAAAGACCGAATACACAGCTGCTTCACCAACAGGGACCAGCTGGCCCAGAAATCTGTGTCCCGAGCTGGCCATGTAGAAGGGGATCCCAAACAGCACACGTGTCCGGTCATCCAGGTGCTTGTGATGACAGCAGATGCCATCTGTCATGAGGGATGGAAACCCAGAGAAAGCTAACACCCAAGGAAACAGGGAGGTTTAGAAAATACCCTTTGAGGGACTTCCCTGGTGGCGCAGTGGTTAAGAATCCGCCTGCCAACACAGGGGACACGGGTTCAATCCCTGGTTCGGGAAGATCACACACGCCGCGGATCAACTAAGCCCGTGCGCCACAATTACTGAGCCCACATGCCGCAACAACTGAAGCCCGCGTGCCTAGAGCCCGTGCTCCACAACAAGAGAAGTCACCACAATGAGAAGCCCACGCACCGCAACAAAGATTAGCCTCCACTCTCCACAACTACAGAAAGCCCGCGCGCAGCAACGAAGACCCAATGCAGCCAAAAAAATAAATAAAATTAAAAAAAAAAGAAAATACCATCGCGCTGGTCCTCTCAGGGGACAAACTGATTTGGGGCCAGCATTAGTTTTCCTCCTTTGCTGAGTCACACCAGAGACAAGGTTTTTTTGTTTTGCTTTGTTTTTGCTTTTTCAGGGCCAAGTTTTAAGCTCTGAACCAGTAGGGCTACCTTAGTAATCAACAAATCAGTACTAAACCAATTCGGAGCTGGCCCTTGGTAAAGTCACATGGATGACTAGCCCCAGGCAAGAGGGGAGGCGGTCCGCACAGCCTTCTTGCCGGATCCCTGAGCATCACTGTCATCGTATGTACTGAACGACGGCAGCAGCCATCATTGACTTTTAGTTGCCAGTCACTGTGCTAAGTAAGCACTCTGCAAGCAACATCCCATTGCCTCCTCCCTTCACCAACCCTGCGAGGTTAGCTTCTTTAGCCTGTGCAATGGCTAAAGAAAATAAGGCTCAGAGAGGCTGAGCAACACGCCCCGGGCGAAACAGCCAGTGGCAAGCTGGGACCGGAACGCAGGCCTGGCTGACTCCGAAGTATGTAGGCCTTAACTACAAACTGGACTTGGGACACTGAGGGTACCCGGAAAGGACAGTCTGTCCTTTCCAGACCCATACACAGGCACACCTGAGCCAGGGAGAGTTTGCTCTTATCAGTTTTCATCTGCAAAAGTGTAGTTGGCTCGCCCGTCCAGACACACTGGGCAGCGAGGGAGGGTCCCTATAACGAGAGAAGCTGGGGCTGGACAACACTGTCATGAAGGTAAGATGAGGGGGTTGAGCTGGAAAGATGTGCTCTTGTGAGCTTGACCTTCACCTGGCCTCCTGGGGGTGCTCATATCTCCTCCTTCTCAGCATCCAACCTCCCATGGGTGTCTGTACCCCTTAAAGTTCTGACACCACATTCTTTTGTTTGAGCTAACTTTTCCCTCATTACTAGAAAACTCTAAGGGATGGGGGGGAAATGAAGACACTAGGTCTAGGACGAGTCCTCTGTTGACTGCGTGTTGGGAAGGTGGCCGTGTCCCCTGAAGAAGCCAGGGCCAGAGCCAAGTCCCAGCCTCTCCGCCGCTGTCAACGTTCTGCCCTAACAGAGGCATAGCTTTGGGGTCTCTTAGACATGAACAAAACCCTCCTCAGCTTGAGTGTTTCCCCTCCAGGAGTCTGGGAGTCCCACTTGCTCACGGCTTCCCTATAAGACTGAGCAGGAACTTACTGGGGTCCCTGAGGACCCCAGTATTTCCCCACTATGACCTTCAGACCAGAATGCAGTAGAAGCCAGACCACATCCACATCAGGACGCCTGCAGAGGCCAGCCCGAGAGAGCTTCTCAAACCCTGTCCGAAAGGACCTTTGTCTGGAAGTCTCACCCACAACCAACTGTGGCCTTGGGCATGGCTTTTTTTTTTTTTTTTTTTTTTGCGGTACGCGGGCCTCTCACTGTTGTGGCCTCTCCCGCTGCGGAGCACAGGATCTTCCCGGACCGGGGCACGAACCCGTGTCCCCTGCATCGGCAGGCGGACTCTCAACCACTGCGCCACCAGGGAAACCCTGGGCATGGCTTTTTTAATCTCAATTTTTTATTATGGAAAACCTCACACTGATACAAAAGTAAAGAGGAGGGTGTGATGATTCCCATGTACTCACTCCTGGCTTCCACTTATAAAAAGTCGCTTCGTTTCTCTCCCCACCCACTTCCCTTACCAACCCCCGATTCTGAACCAATTTTGGCATGTTATTTACTGTCTTTCTATGTTTGCTCATCTATCAATGTCAACACTATTCTACCTGCAACACACTATCGCCACCACCAAAGCCCATTCAACAAATTAAGGCCTTTGAATTTCCACCTTTTTCACCACCCCCCAGCTCTACAAAAGACGCTTTAATTAGGTCACACAAGTTACCTCCCCAGGAGCAATCTTCAGGAATAATTTTGAGTTTCTTTCTGATGGGACCATTCATGAGCTGACTTAAGGCATCCTGCTGTAAGTGTCTCACGTGGCGCTGGAAAAGGTAAACTAAAACAAACTGGTACACGGTGAGTCGAAAGACTGGAAATAAGACCAAGAGAACCTCTTTTCTAAGCTGCCGGGGATGCTGTGTGTAAGAGGGAGGCCTGCACCTGGAAGAAGAAAGGTGTCCCCCTGATTCCCCCCAGATGGCGGGGGGGTGGGGGGAGTCAGGAACATGTTCAAAGTGGAGATGCTTTATTGGTTTTGATTGCTGCATTTTATGTACTCTGGGGCCACTGAGATTATCCAGCACGGCCAAAGGCAATCAGCTGAGTGGAATCTAGAGGCCTCCTGCAGCTTCTACATGGCAGAAGGATACCAGGCATTCAGCACCCACAGGGAAGACAACTCAATCCAGCCTTTAGGAGAACTGACATCGTAATTCAATGTGCAGAAGCTGGTTTCCAAACTTCAAAACACTGTCTAAGTGCAAGAAGCCGGATGCAAAATACTACCTAGTGCAGGACTCCATCTATGTGAAATGTCCTGAAATGGCAAATGTACAGAGACCGAAAGCAGACTAGTGGTTGCCTGGGGCTGGGCGTGGGAACAGAAACTGACTGCAGACAGACATGTGGGATTTTTCTGGGGTGATGGAAATGTGCTAAAACTCGATTGTGGTGATGAGCGCACAGCTCTGTAAATAAACTAAAAACCATGGAATCACACACTTAAAATGGGTGAATTTTATGGTATGTAAATTATATATCAATAAAGCTTTTTAAAAAATTGGTTTCTTCTCACACGCAGGCTGAGACAGGGTCTAGCAACTTCAAGGTCCACTCACCTATGTGGCTCTGGGTGAATTCTAGACTCGATTTCATGGTAGACGTGGGAGACGTCTTAGTTAAGATGTTATAGAAGTTCACCCCGTCTGTGTTCTGAAATACAGAAGAAATATATTTGGCTGTTTGTTTTATTTATTCATTATCAAAGTTGCAAAACAGAACGGCACCTGGCTCTCCACCTTATCCGAGGACAGCTTTAACTCTGTACATTTGCTCGGACCAGAAAGAAATGTAGACCTTAAGGCTCAGAGACCAGCAGCAGTGTCAGCCCAGTCTCCTGGCATAGTGAGCAGCTCATCCGAGTGGAGCTCCGATGCCGCAGGAGGAAACCAAGGGCCTGTGTGTTAATTACCAGGGAAAACCGAGCTACAGTGTCCTACATACTGAAGTCCTCAGCCTGTGCATTCTTCCCTCCTGGCTCACTGGGGCCAAAGCACTGCTCGGCAAGGATCCAAACACTTGCCTCTGTGTTTGGCAAATCTGTGGGACATATTCTTTTTTATAGAAGCCATACCTTCAGTCAAGAGGCAGGCAAGTCTTGCAGGCTGGGTGGCTTTCTGACCCCGTCTTTGCTCAGACTCGTCAGATTTATCGTTTAGTTTGACAGCATTTCTCGACTTGTGGGCAGTCTCAGGATAGATCCCAATCCTAACAACACCAACCAAGGTCCCTTCACCCAAGGGGAAAAGCCAAGCAGGCTGGCCCCGAGCGCGTCCCCTCTTACCTGTTCAATGACCATTTCTGCTTTCCCCCACAGCTCGGTGGCCTCTTTGTAGAGTCTCTTATTTATGGCATCCAGGACTTGTTCTGCAACCCGAGACACCTCTGCCAGACCTTGGTCGTCGAGAAGAGACTGGAACGCAAAGCAAGAACTAAAAGGCCCACTTTGTGAGAGACACAAATCTGGCATTGCTCCAGTTAGGGATGGGTAACAGAAAGAACGGCAGGAAGGAGAAAGGGGACCGTCCATATGAAAGCACAGCATTACAAGTGCTGTGTTTATTGATGACGGAAATATAGGAAAATGGTAACTGAGTCTAAGTGATGGGTATATGGGTGTTCCCCATGATCTTTCAACTTTTCTGCATATTTGAAAATGTCTGTAATAAAAAGCTGGGGGGGGGAATTTTAAAATGTGCATTTCTTATAGCTGGAGAAATGGGTAACTGTGCTGATATTTCTTTAAATTTGTCCCCAAGGCCGGCTGTTGCTTAGGGTCTTTGATTTGATACAGATTATTTGATAAGTCCCTAAGGGGCAATGTCAACCACACAGGCAAACCCAGCTAGCTTTGTCCTTCCTTCGGACAGAGCCAGAAGAGGTCAGCTGGGCTGTTAACCACAGAACGTGCAGAGTTGGGGACTCATCTACTTACCATGCTGTACAAGTAAGGTCCCCAGGAGAGCACTGAATCTAAAGGAAACCACATAATAAAATAAGTTTGTTGTGGCTCTGTCCTCCCCACAAAATACCTAACTAGTTTTCCTTCCAAAGCAGAAAGAGACAGAAGAAATGCAGTGGCTTTGGGTCTGAAGGCCCCTTAACTCACCAGGGCCCATGCAGGGCTGATGTCTCAGTGGCTGGGAGGTGGGGCGAGGCTGTGGGGGTCTTTCTGGTGACTCAGGACTAAATGCTACATTAATTTGGCCTGATACTGGCACAGCCAGTGAGTCGCCAGGGATGGCACCACAGCCAAGCAGTGCGTGTGCAGTGGAGGCCCTCATTTGCAGACTTCTAGACTTTGTGACAGCCTAAAATATTTCCCCACCTTCAGAGTTCTGCTCTGCATCCTGCCTGCTCCTCCAATTTGGGGACGCCAGCTTCCGTCAAGGAGCTAATTAAGGAAGAAGACTAATGACCTCACAAGTGTCTGTGCTGTAACTGCCAATCAATTCATTTCAATCCCGAAAATGTATTGAGAGTTTACTATGGGCCTAAAGCCAGTAAGGAGCTTTATAAGATATAAACATGAGTAAGACAACACCTGACTTCAAAGAGCATAGTTGGGCTTGGTTTGGACAAGTTCACAACTACCATAACACTAGGTACGGCTAGTGCCATTGAGAGATGTGCCAAAAAAGTAGCAAGGCCCACACCTTTTTTTTTTTTGGCTTATGTGATTTTCTTCTTCTGTAATTAAAAAAAGAAACTGAAGTACAGTTGATTTCCATCAAGGACCACAACTTATAGAGCACATTTGAACACGTCACTCCTTTGCTTAAAAGACTTCAATGGTTCCCCCTAAGCCCAAGTATCTCAAAGTCTGTTTCAAATAACCCCAGTTCTACAGAATGTTAACCAAAGTATTAGAAGGAAAAATGACTTGGTGGTGAAATACCTTTGGGGTTATGCAAAAGACAACATATTTTTATTTTTTACTGCAGGACTTCTCAGAGCCTTTAATGTACCTGTGAACCATGAGGAAGTGGGACCAGTATTTGGCACTTCTGAAACTTATTTGGCCATGGAGCCCTTTGCATAGCACTTCATTGGACTGATATTCTTCAGAGCACACCCTGAGAAATGCAGGCACACCAGGTCCTACAGGACCCAGTTGTCATTCACCTCTCCAGCTAAACCATCAAACCTGTGCCTCAGTTTCTCTCTTTTTTTTTTTTTTTTTTTTTGAGGTACGCGGGCCTCTCACTGTTGTGGCCTCTCCCGTTGCGGAGCACAGGCTCCGGATGCGCAGGCTCAGCGGCCATGGCTCACGGGCCCAGCCGCTCCGCGGCATGTGGGATCTTCCCGGACCGGGGCACGAACCCGTGTCCCCTGCATCGGCGGGCGGACTCTCAACCACTGCGCCACCAGGGAAGCCCCCTCAGTTTCTTATAAAGAATCACCTGCAGTTCTCCAATGCATCCCATTCCCTGCTTGATCTAGACCAGGGACTGACAAACTTTTTCTGAAAGAAAGAGATAAATAATAAATATTTCTGGCTTGGCAGGCCAGCTGATCTCTGTTACAGCTACTCAACCCTGTTTCGGCAGCCTCCAAACAGTCAGAGGATATGTAAATAAACAGGCGTGACTGTGTCCCAGTAAAAACTTTATTTACTAAAGCAGAGTGGCAGGACAGAATTGACTTGGAGGCCGTAGTTGCTGAACTCTGATGCGGACCTCTGATGTCCAGTAGAACTTTCTGCAATGATGGAAATGTTCTATATCTTTTTCTTTTTCTTCCACACCGCGAGGCTTGTGGGATCGTAGTTCCCCGACCAGGGATTGAACCCGTGCCCCCTGCAGTGGAAGCACAGAGTCCTAACCCACTGGACCGCCAGGGAATTCTCAAAATGTTCTGTATCTGTGTGGTCCAAAACAATAGTCAACAGCCACATGTGGCTACTGGGCACTTTGAAATTGTGTGTAGTACAAATGAAAGATGGAAAATTTTATGTATTTTAATTAATGTAAATAGTCATATGTGGCTACGGCTACCATATTGAACTGTGCAGATCCTCTTGAAGAAATGAAGCATGTCTGTGCATCTTTCCTAGCACCCAACAAAACAACTACTCCCTAGCGAGCAATTAATAATTGCTTGTGAAAATTAATAGTACTTCTTCAAAAAAGAGAGTACTCCTGGGGTGGAAGAGTGATACGTAAGGTGGATCTGGAAGAAGAGATCAAGGTGGACCTGGAAGGAGGGATTAAGAGCTGGGCAGGAAGATTCAAAAGGGGAGGTGGGTCACAACAATGTGAATTCGGGAGATTTTGGACCAGATGAAGAGCACATGCAAAGCCATGAGGCTAACTTACTGGTCTCAGGGAGGAATGCAGGGTAATGGTTAAGTGCATGGATTCCACTGCCTGCTGCCTTCATGTGCATCCTGGCTTTAGCTGTGTGACTTTAGGAAGATTGCTTAACCTCTCTGAGTCTCCATTTCATCACCTCCAAAACTAGGATAATAATACCATCCATCCCATGGAGCTGTTGCAAACATTAAGTGAAGTTAACACATGAAAAGTGTTTAGTGTTATTAACACAGCTGTGATGAGACCCTCGAAGGAAGTGTGAGGCCAGGACCGTCACTCTGAGTGAGACACCTGTCAGGAAACCTGCTGACTCCCTCACGCCTCAGGTCAAGGCTTCTGCAACATCTTGGCGTCCTAGGAAGTACATCCAGGAAGGAAACACAAAGAGCAGCCCTTTTCACAATGCGGACTGAGCTTTCAGTTCTGTCCTTTAACCCCTGCCCTGGAGATGCCAAGAACGAGGGCAAGAAATAACCATTCCAAGCAGCTTCAGAATGTCTTGAATCCATCAGGGACATGGCTCTGTAACAAGCCAAATCTCTATCTTTTAAGGGGAAAATATTACCTTGTATAAATTATTATTTTTAAAAACCTGAGGCATCATCACAAACCACAGACATACATTTAGAAGAGTTTCGATTAACACATCCACTCATGTAACAACCACCCAACGAGAGCCTAAAAAGTTCCTTCGTGTCCCTTTCCAGCTTATTCCCCTCCCTATTTCAGAGGCAACTTCTCTTCTGAAATCTAACTCTACCGTTTGGTTTTGTCTGTGAAAAGTCACCTTTTGTTAGGTTAGGGCAGTAGTTCCTAACTGGGGTGATTTTGTCCCCTGGGGACATTTGGCAATATGTCTGGAGATATTGTTGGTTGCCAAGCTGGGGTGGAAATACTGGCATCTAACGGGTAGAGATGCTGCTAATATCCTTCACTGCACAGGACACCCCCCCCCCACAACAAAGAATCACATGACGCTCAAAACATCAACATTGCTGAGACTTAGAAATCCTCACTAGAGTTAACCCTACCACAGTGACTATTTCAGATGCCTGAAGCCACACCTTGGGTGTATACAATCCAAACAACTTTTATCTATACTCCCAACAAGGATGCTCAGGTTATGAAACTTCGAACCTCTGAGTTACAGGACCAGATGGTAGCCCTGCCTCACCATCAAAATGAGCAACAGGTGGGAATTTCACCCCAAATGCTCATGTTAGCATAAGGATGGTGGACAGGACGAGATGACAAACAGACTTGGGTTTGTATCCTGCCCAGGCAACTCATTCTGTGTGTCAGAGGGCAAATTCCATCATCTTTCTACGTCTCTAGAATGTCTTCAACTGTAAAATTTGATTCTTTTGTTGTGAAAATCAAATAAGAGACCTCGGTTCAGCCTGTAGCAGTCCATGGAAGGTGCACTGTGAGTTCTCACTCCTGAATTTCTTGGAATACTCCTGGAGCAAACACTTTCTGTGCTGACTTTTTCAAGGACCCAGAGAATTCCATTGCCTTGTTCTTTGATCTAGATACCACAGCCCAAAGTCCCGAAGGGTAGGGAAAGGGACTTTTAAAATGTCTGAAAATTCCCTACTTACCGATGGGAGAGATCCAGGAATCACCCAAAGCAACCCCGGCAAAGTTGCACTGGATGGTCCCTTGCTGAATGGCCTGAAAGAGAAGCCAAGAAATATCCTTGTCAAGAAGACCCAGGGGCCTCCATCCCTTCCTCAACATGAGGGAGCCAGGCCTTTATACACTGCCTTTCTTGAGCAGAGACAGCTCCTGCCCACCCAGGATACCCTGGATATCCAAAGACAACAGATGCCCACTAGAAGGCAAGGGTAACTCCTGCTGCCATTTGCAAAATGAGTAAGAACTGTTTGAGTTTTCCCAAGGGTGTTGGCAGGATGTGCGGGGGACCTGGTGTAGCTCCTATCTCTTCCTTAGAAAGGACGCTGGCACTCTTTCCCCTGGAGGTCTCTGATTTCTCACAAGGTGCTCTGGGGGCTCTCTGGGTACAATCGCCACTGTCTCCAGTGGACACTGGAGAGCTGGGAGGCCTCCTCAGAAGGTCCTTGAGGGTGGGATGGATGCCTTAGGACTGGGAACTCATGCCCCCTGCTGCTTTTATCCATTTAAAAGGAATTCATCTGCCCAGTAGCAGAACATTGGAAACAACTGAAATATTTATCAATACGGTGGGCTAAATTAATTATGGTTATTTCCATGGTGCATGATGCAGCTTAAAAAAAGGAATGAGGGGCTTCCCTGGTGGCGCAGTGGTTGAGAGTCTGCCTGCCGATGCAGGGGACACGGGTTCGTTCCCCGGTCCGGGAAGATGCCACGGAGCGCCTGGGCCCGTGAGCCGCAGCCACTGAGCCTGTGCGTCTGGAGCCTGTGCTCCGCAACGGGAGAGGCCACAACAGTGAGAGGCCCGCATACCACAAAAAACAAACGAACAAACAAAAGGAATGAGAAGGCTTTTTATGGTCGAATATAAAAAGATCTCCAGGGTATATTGTTAAAGTAAAAAAGAGACATGTGGAACAGTGTGCAGTATATACAATCATTTGTATAAAAACGGGGGAAAAGAATATACATGAACTAGCTTATATAGGCATGAAATACTCTGAAAAGGTACTGAAAAAACTAACAGAGGTTGCCTTGGGCGGGGGACAGAGGCAAGACGGACATTTTTTTTTTTTTTTTTTTGGGGTACGCGGGCCTCTCACTGTTGTGGCCTCTCCCGTTGCGGAGCACAGGCTCCGGACGCGCAGGCTCAGCGGCCATGGCTCACGGGCCCAGCCTCTCCGCGCTTGCGCAGCACGTGGAATCTTCCCGGACCGGGGCACGAACCCGTGCCCCCTGCATCGGCAGGCGGACTCTCAACCACTGCGCCACCAGGGAAGCCCAAGACGGAGAATTTTTATAGCATACCTTTTACATATTTTGAATTTTGAATTATGTGAATGCACAGGCTATTCAGAGATCTAAAATAAGAAAACAATGAATAGCCTGACTTTGAACACTGGTAATAAAAGAGAAAAAATTATGCCATTATTTGGCTTTTCCAAAAGGAACTTATTTCAAGTTACTTAAATACTACCAGTTGATGAGGAAAAGTTCCACTTTATAGGAGAATACCAGCTAACAAATGCGAACAAAATGAAGGGAGGAGAAAACCATCATTTGGAAACTCCTAATGAAATTACTGACTTGCGTAAGAATTAAAAATTGATGTTAAAACCATTATTCAGTGAAAGATGGATGAAGAACTGGACATCCATGTCAGGTGAAAATAACACCACTCAGATCATTTTCTGTCCAGGCGGAGGGTATAGGAGTTCAATGGAGGGATCAGACTAGATCTGGTTATTATGTGCCCTCTGATTCAAAGCAAAATGAAGTGCACAACATCCCCTACGTCAGAGGCTGGCAATTTTTTCTATAAGGGGCAGATATTAAATATTCTAGGCTTTGTAGAACAAAAGTCTACTACATTGCAGCTACTCAACTCTACCACTGTACTGCTAAAGCAGCCACAAGCAATATGTAAACAAGTGAGAGTTCTAATAAAACTTTATTTGTGGAGGAGCTTCAAGATGGCGTAAGAGTAAGATGTGGAAACCACCTTACTCCCCACAAATACATCAGAAATACATCTACATGTGGAACAACTCCTACAGAACACCTACTGAACGCTGGCAGAACACCTCAGACTTCCCAAAAGGCAAGAAACTCCCCACGTACCTGGGTAGGGCAAAAGAAAAAAGAGACAAAAGAATAGGGACGGGACCCGCACCCGGGGGAGGGAGCTGTGAAGGAGGAAAGGTTTCCACACACTAGAAGCCCCTTCGCGGGCGGAGACTGCGGGTGGCGGAGGGGGAAAGCTTCGGAGAGCACAGCAACAGGGGTGCGGAGGGCAAAGCGGGGAGAGATTCCCACACAGAGGATCAGTGCCAACCAGCACTCACCAGCCCGAGAGGCTTGTCTGCTCACCCGCTGGAACAGGCGGGGGCTGGAAGCTGAGGCTCGGGCTTCGGAGGTCAGATCCCAGGGAGAGGACTGGGGTTGGCGGCGTGAACACAGCCTGAAGGGGGCTAGTGCACCACAGCTAGACGGGAGGGAGTCCAGGAAAAGTCTGGAGCTGCCGAAGAGACAAGAGACTTTTTCTTGCCTCCGTTTCCTGGTGCGCGAGGAGAGGGGATTAAGAGCGCTGCTTAAAGGAGCTCCAGAGACGGGCGCGAGCCGCAGCTAACAGCGCGGACCCCAGAGACGGGCATGAGATGCAAAGGCTGCTGCTACCGCCACCAAGAAGCCTGTGTGCAAGCACAGGTCACTATCCACACCCCCCTTCTGAGGAGCCTGTGAAGTCCGCCACTGCCAGGGTCCCGGGATCCAGGGACAACTTCCCCTGGAGAACCCATGGCGTGCCTCAGGCTGGTGCAACGTCATGCTGGCCTCTGCCGCCGCAGGCTCGCCCTACATCCGTACCCCTCCCTCCTCCCTGCCTGAGTGAGCCAGAGCCCCCGAATCACCTGCTCCTTTAACCTCATCCTGTCTGAGCGGGAACAGATGCCCTCAGGCGACCTACACAAAGAGGCGGGGCCAAATCCAAACCTGAACCCCGGGAACTGTGCGAACAGAGAAGAGAAAGGGAAATCTCTCCCAGCAGCCTCAGGAGCAGCGGATTAAAGCTCCACAATCAACTTGATGTACCCTGCATCTGTGGAACACCTGAATAGACAACGAATCATCCCAAATTGAGGAGGTGGACTTCGGGAGCAACGATATATATATATATATATATATATTTTTTTTTCCCCCTTTTTCTCTTTTTGTGAGTGTGTATGTGTATGCTTCTGTGTGTGATTTTGTCTGTATAGCTTGGCTTTTACAGTTTGTCCTAGGGTTCTGTCTGTCCATTTTTTTCCCCCTAGTATAGTTTTTAACACTTGTTATCATTTCTGGATTTGTTTTTTGGTTTGGTTGCTCTCTTCTTTCTTTCTTTCTCTCTTTTTTTTTTATTACTTTAAAAAATTTTTAATAATTATTTTTAATTTTAATGACTTTGTTTTATTTTACTTTATTTTATCTTCTTCTTTCTTTCTTTTCTCCCTTTTATTCTGAGCCGTGTGGATGACGGGCTCTTTGTGCTTCAGCCAGGCGTCAGGGCTGTGCCTCTCAGGTGGGAGAGCCAAGTTCAGGACACTGATCCACAAGAGACCTCCCAGCACCACGTAATATCAAATGGCGAAAATCTCCCAGAGATCTCCATCGCAACACCAAGACCCAACGCCACTAAACAACCACCAAGCTACAGTGCTGGACACCCTACGCCAAACAACTAGCAACACAGGAACACAACCCCATCCATTATCAGAGAGGCTGCCTAAAATCATAGTAAGGCCACAGACACCCCAAAACACACCACCAGACGTGGACCTGCCCAACAGAAAGACAAGATCCAGCCTCATCCACCAGAACACAGGCACTAGTTCCCTCCACCAAGAAGCCTACACAACCCACTGAACCAACCTTAGCCACTGGGGACAGACACCAAAAACAACGGGAACTACGAACCTGCAGCCTGCGAAAAGGAGACCCCAAACACAGTAAGATAAGCAAAATGAAAAGACAGAAAAACACACAGCACATGAAGGAGCAAGGTAAAAACCAACCAGACCTAACAAATGAAGAGGAAATAGGCAGTCTGCCTGAAAAAGAATTCAGAATAATGATAGTAAAGATGATCCAATCTTTATTGGAAATAGAATAGAGAAAATGCAAGAAACATTTACCAAGGACCTAGAAGAACTAAAGAGGAAACAAACAATGATGAACACCACAATAAATGAAATTAAAAATTCTCTAGAAGGGGTCAGTAGCAGAATAACTGAGGCAGAAGAACGGATAAGCGACCTGGAAGATAAAATAGTGGAAATAACTACCGCAGAGCAGAATAAAGAAAAAAGAATGAAAGAATTGAGGACAATCTCAGAGACCTCTGGGACAACATTAAACGCACCAACATTTGAATTATAGGGGTCCTAGAAGAAGAAGAGAAATAGAAAGGGATTGAGAAAATATATGAAGAGATTATAGTTGAAAACTTCCCTAATCTGGGAAAGGAAATAATTAATCAAGTCCAGGAAGCACAGAGAGTCCCATACAGGATAAATACAAGGAGGAACAGGCCAAGACACATACTAATCAAACTATCAAAAATTAAATACAGGGCTTCCCTGGTGGTGCAGTGGTTGGGAGTCCGCCTGCCGATGCAGGGGACACGGGTTCATGCCCTGGTCTGGGAAGATCCCACATGCCGCGGAGTGGCTGGGCCCATGAGCCATGGCCGCTGAGCCTGTGCATCCGGAGCCTGTGCTCCGCAACGGGAGAGGCCACAGCAGTGAGAGGCCCGCGTACCACAGAAAGAAAAGAAAAAAAAAATTAAATACAAAGAAAAAATATTAAAAGCAGCAAGGGAAAAACAACAAATAACACACAAGGGAATCCCCATAAGGTTAACAGCTGATCTTTCAGCAGAAACTCTGCAAGCCAGAAGGGGGTAGCAGGACATATTAAACTGATGAAGGAGAAAAACCTACAACCAAGATTACTCGAACCAGCAAGGATCACATTCAGATTTGACAGAGAAATTAAAACCT